GTGACAATTTTTTAGATTTTGCCTTCGTTTGCGAGTTTATTGTTACTTTTACCTCATTCGTGATTTAAACAAGAATACGTGCTTAAATTCGCAGTGAGCACAAAATGTCTTCTAAAATACTGAACAGATTTGAACGAAACTTCGTATATGAATACCTAACCTCCCAACTGTAATGTTTAGATCGTGACAATTTTTTTGATTTTGCAATGTTTAGTTAAATAACAATCTACAGTTTCCTCAACTGCCACTCGATCACGTGATGCGAGATCGGAGCCGGGAGTGGGATCGTGATTGTCAAGAAAGTACTTGCCAACTCATTCGCTTGGTCGTCGTACCTTGTTTAACCTAAGAGGAGAGAAACTGAGGTGAGCAAATAATAAGAATTAGATTGATTCAGCTTATAATCCTCATTGTATAGTGAGGTTTTTCCTATTGCTGTCATATTACTCATATATATGTTTGCCATTGTCTAGTATCAAAGAAGATCTGAAACTAAGATTATTCTTGAAACTTCATGAGAATGATGAAATGATAACCAAGTAGTAGAAGGTAATCCCATGGTAAATGGTTGAACTAATACATGTACTAATTCAACCATGGGTAATTCTATCCAGTGTTGCCAGACGGTCCGTTAGCTATAAAGACAAATTCCGCGATTTAGTTTTTTTCAATTGCGTTGGCCGGCTAAAATTTATGATAAGGGTACTTTCTAATTAGATTTTAAAAACTGCACAAAAAAAGAGATGGAATTTCTACACTGGAACCTACACGGAATACCTACACAGGAAAAGCCCTTCATAGGGCTTTTTTATTCTCCCACTTGGCCGTTTCTAGCAATCCTAGGCCATCTGTCAACTCTGATCCCATCCAGGGTCTGCCATTAAAGTTTAGCGAGTAGGCTGATTAGCATCACAGCCATCTGTGTGGTGAGTAAAATCACTAAAATCCAAGCTGTGAAAACTATTCCATTTTAATTGACAGTAAAAATGGTTAGGTATGTTTCTATCTGATTAGCATTAGTATGAAGTGAATGTGTTATGTCAGAACTAATGTCACTTTATGTCGTCACTGAACACCAAGTTGGGCAGCATGCCATCCTCAATAAGATCCAGAATGTGCTGGCATCTTTCAAGCCTCATTCGTGCATGATGGTCTGTTAGTTCATGCCTTGTTTGCATCTTGTAAGTAAATGTAAGGGGATGTTTTGAGGTTATCTTTGAGGACTCTATGCATTGATGCCCGACTGACTCCTGCTTCTAAGTTCTGCAGCAAATTTTGCAGCTGAGTGACTAGGGTTTCTCCTCAAATTCCCTTGTGTTTTTGACCAATCGTTTTGTTCGGACACTTTGTTTCCTTCCTTGACCAGGTCGATTGCACATTTCATTAGTTTTCTTGGATTTTTTACCACCTTCCACACAGTTTCATGACGAATTTGGAGCTTTTTTTGCAATGACTGAATTACTCTCGCCCTTTTCATGAGTCGTTACAATTGCATTTCTATCTTGTGCCAAAGGTAATAATAAATTTAGACATCTTAGACTCCTGCTGCCCTGCAACATAAAATAGATGAATTAATAGATGATTTAAAGCTTCATTATACCTAAAAGAAAAGTCTCCTGGACACCAATTTATTTTTATATACCGGTAGCAAGCATCCGTTGCCATAAATATGGCAGACCTGTATATACCTAGTTTTATTTAAATTCAATACAATTCTTGGTTTGATAACTAGAACATTAGTCTTGTATTTTGTAATGAAGTTCCATGTTCAGTTAATATGCAGTTCTAAAATATCAGCTTTACATTGCTGGAGCATTAATTAGAGAACTCCTGTTTCAACACCTTTGATTTATTCTGCATATTGTACAGCAGCTGATTTACCAAGTTTTTAATGTAGGTATAGGTAGAAACATGTTTGGAATGGTGTTTTCATATCTAACTTGTTTCTCTGTGTCCAGCTTCTGCTTCATTGATTCAAGTTCTAGCATTTGATACTGAAATTAATTTTCCTAATTAATCACTCCTGCATTTAACTCAATGTTTTGGTTTCAATTGTTTGTTATAAATCATGTCGACTCATTGATGATTTCATATTACTATATAAGGACAAATATTTTTAACTATTACCGTAAAATGGGGTAACTTAGACCGGCGGGGTAACTTCTGTCTCTTATACACATCTAGATGTGTATAAGAGACAGGNCAAATTGATGGATTTTGATGTTTAATTTTTTGTGTCCAATTACAAAATATTTTAGTCCATAAAATTTCCATAGTCTCTGATTTCAACTAAGATGTTATCTGAAATTTCTTATAAGGAAACATTTTGATCAAGCAAGTGATTTGTTGCATTCACTTCTGTTTACATACGAGTTTACCAAAATTTCTCCAAAACGTCATATTGAGTGAGTAATAACTATTTTTGAACAATAATTATGATATAAGGAAAAGTAGATATGATCCTCAGGTAATAAATAAATGATGGTAATAAGGTTTTATTCGATCTCTTATCAGTCTTATTTTCTTCCAGGATTGTGCTCATCTCAACTGAGTCATGGATGAGTCATGGGAGTGCCTGTCCCCTCTTCTACATCCCGCCGTAGCCGCCGGCGTCAAGGAGTTTAATTTTCCCAAGATGACGGCCGTACAGGCTGCTTGTGTCCCTAATATGTTGTCCCACTATGAGGTGGTTGCCGAGGCTGTCACAGGTAGTGGTAAAACTCTAGCGTTTTTGGTACCAACTCTTCAAATTATACTTCAAAGAGAATACCCCATCAAAAAGTACGAGGTTTATGCTATGATTTTGTCACCATCGCGAGAGTTGGCCTCGCAGATCCACGGTGTTCTTCAGGTTTTGCTGAAACACTGCAAAGAAGTGTCGTCGTTGTTACTCGTAGGTGGAGGAGCTGTGTCTGAAGACGTTGCAAAGTTTGAAAGTAATGGCGGTCACATCATCGTCGGCACGCCTGGAAGAATTGAGGATATCTTCAACAGATGTGAATCTGGTAGCACGAGCTTGAAACTTGCTTGCAGGGCGTTGGAAATCTTAATATTAGACGAAGCTGATAAACTCTTAGAAGTTGGCTTTACCGAAACAATCAGCACAATTCTTGCATGCCTTCCCAAGCAGAGAAGAACCGGGCTTTTTTCTGCCACTCAAACTTCAGACAAGGTTAAACTGATTAGGGCTGGCCTTAGAAAGCCCCGTCGGATTAGGGTGATGCAATCTCCACAGCAATGATCCAGACCTAAATGAAGACTATAACATGTGTATGAAGTACAAGAAAAGGAAAGTTTCTGATGAAGAAATTGAAAAGTTCTTTGGCTGTGGCTCAGACGGTGGGAAAAATGCTTAGTTCACTACGGCTGCTCAAGCACTCGTTTTCCTCTTGCAATGCTTCATCTGTGTATGCATCAGGCAATGAACTCTGGGAAAATCAAATTCCGCACAATTTGTTGTGAGATTTATTCTTATTTGCTCCTCAAATATCAGCAGTCTTGTTAAATTCCCTTTTTTGGTTCACTGTTTTCTATAGTAGCCAACCAACCCTTGTTTGTCCTTTCACTTTTGATTCAGAAGCAATCTTAGACTCATCACTGTGTATTAATTTCCAAACAATTCAGAATTTGTTCTTTCTAGTATCATTCTTCAAATTAGCAAATAAGACTTTCCTTATGGGAAAGTAAAAGATTTATCCTCCCTCAGTATTAACATTAGATTCCAAATAGTTCCGCCGATCATTCTTCAAGTCGCTCATATTTCCATGTTTAACGTACGGATTCAATTTCCGTTTCTCTTGTCAGGTTCTCAATTTAGAAAACTAATAAACTTTGGTGGTGGTAAAAACCAGATGATTCAATCCTGATCATCAATCTTAATGATAGGCCAGTCTGATAGATGTTTGACTGGAAATCGGAACATTCTCCATAAAAAAAGATGGTTAGTATGGAAAGGTGATGTAACCTAATGTTGCTGAGATAGCGAATGACAGAAAGTATATAAGATGAAAATAATTTACTTTATTCTATCCTTCGAATAGCTTGGCAGAATATTCTGTACGCATCCGCTTTTAATTAAAGCGTAAGTTGGCGAAACTGTGACTGCTCTGATGGAAAGTTCAGATTTGATAGTATCCTAAGGCCTAATGTCTTGGTATCATTCGTGTGTTATCGCAAAACTATACCAAATATCATATGGAACCTCCGAAGAATGTTTCTCTATTTTCTCTTCTTGAATATTGCTGCCAGCTCTGGACCCCGTTCACACTCGGCGCAGTGCGGCAACTGGAAGGGGTCCAGCAAACCTTCACATCCAGGATCAGAGGGATTGAGAAGTTGAACTATTGGGAGAGGTTCTAGTGCTTGGGCCTGTACTTACTGCAGAGGAAACGGGAGAGGTATGTCATTCTGTGCACACGGAGAATGATAACCGAAATGGCACCAAATTTCTAAAGAAAGACCTTCAGTATTGAAACATACCATAACGAGAGAAGGGGGGAGGCTGTGCTGGATCCCCCCTCTGCGTAACACATCTGCGGCTAGATTTCAAACTCTGCGGGAAGGATCCCTTTCCGTGGCAGGTCCGAGGCTGTTTAACGTCCTACCAAAAGATCTATTAGAATTAGAGGGAGCGTTCACCCTGGAGACCTTCGAGAAATAACTAGGCGTGTTCCTGGGCGCAATCCCTGATCGACCGCCCCTGCACCACCACCAGCGGCGAGAAGCATGCAACAGCTCGTGGATCAACTGGCCTAAATGGATGCGCGATCGTCAAAGGCGGCGATCCATCGTGGCCTGGCTGGGACTGCTACATCCGAAACATATACTATTGACTGTTTGCTCTGTAGACAAGGTTGAGCAGGCAAAGCAGGTACTCCACTTCGGCGTGTCTTCTTTATACGGCCGAGTATGCAAATTTTGACGCCCATCACAGCCTATCATCCGTTCGAAACTTTTTTAGTTCTCATCATGTTAAGATCATTGCAATTCGAGTAAACTGAGATATTAAGAGTGTTGGTTTTGTGGAATAAAAACAATTAGAATGTATTTATCTATTTTTGCTTATATATCCGGAAATATCTTCCCACGCACGTAAAACATGGCAAAAGGGCGATACAGTGAAAGTCTTTGACTTTATCTTTCTACGTGGTTGCGATGTGGGAGAACTTGCGTATTTTATTACATTTGTAAAATAAGTTTCTCAAGTTTTAAAGAAGAATGGGACCTGCAAGAGATTATAATGTTTACCGATGGTAATCAATATACGTATACGATTAACCCAATTTCAGAAGAGAAAACGCTACTTCAATTTTTTTATTCGGGGGGGCAAAGGTGGAGTTCATCCCATGGATTTAGTGACAAAGACTGGAAGGAGATTACGATCTAAAAAGATCTTAGATCCAAATTAATAAATATGGTTAATCAGAATGATTGCAACGGGCATTTATACTTGACTGCTAGCTGGGTAATTTCTCATAAAGATGTGGGACCATGCTATTTAAAACTCGCTCACGTACACACAGCGGCCAATTTTTCGTCTGTGACTGGTGGGTTTAGCTTGAAAATCTGTCAGTGATTTGCTGACAAGGTAACGCATTCCTAACTTTTTTTTAATACGGCAACAGGGCGCTACTACCGTTACGGTTACCTTAGCTAATTAGGCTTAGCGTTCAGCCAGGACTTAATTAAGAAAGAACCACTTAGTCTATGCACTTCAATGTTAGACATTCTCAAACCTTAAGCTTGCATATTATTATCTACGTTTGTGAATTAAAGTGCTGAAAAGTTAGATCGTTAGGGAAACCTATTGCCCCTTAGTATTCAAATGCATGCATTTCATCACACCAAAAGCGATTTTAGTTATAGGCTGAAAAATTTCTTTGTACCGATATAGAAAATTGAAAAAATATTTAGTGACAAACTAAATTGTTGTACTGCAGAGAGGTACCTAATTGAGACATGATCACACGTGACACGTCATTGCAGTCGGTTGCAATGTTAACATATAAGGCATTATTGGCGCCATTTATTATTAGGAACCTGCTACCGTATTTTAATTACGTAATTACATGCCAAGATGCAAATTTATTTCATGGTCATTTTTCTCCAAGCTATCATTTGTATTGGGAAATTTTTAATTAATGAAGAATGAATTTTTTAACCCATGTTTTCATTGTATTAAACGCCGTTTAGATTGTATTAAACGCCTTGGCAGGGAATAATAGAGTAAATTATTACCATATTATAGATAAGGTGCCTATCACCAACAACCTGTGAACCTGACTGTGTGACAACGAACCAAACCTGCGACTGCCACCAGACTGTTCGACCCATGATGTACTTTGGTAGACACCCGCATGCCTGGCCCGGCCTGAGGTGGGTGGTACTGGTACCCCAGCGCACCCCTCCCATGCACACCAGCAGCTCGTACCTTGGAGAGACGACGAGTTCTAACATTCTTGATGCGAATGGTGTTGAATGGTTGTGCTTCCAAGGTTAAACATGGCTGTTCCGGTGAAATTAACATCCTCAGGCCTCATTAGTATCACTCTTGAGTTGTCATCCTCTGCTGCATTTCCACTTTCCTGTGTGTTAGTTGGTTCTTTCTGATTAACAGATACTTCAACAGAGTCCACTGATCTGCCGTTGACATATGGGCGCATTCGCAAACCAAAACCATCAGGCACGTTTTCCTCACCAGACTGCATGGGGCCTTTACGCTTCTTTCCAGCAGTGTCCTGCGATGTGTTTCCATTCGATGCTTGAGTTGAATCATTATTTGCAAGTTCCACTTCACAGAAATGCTGAACTGGGAATCGGTGAGCATGCGTTCTTCCGGATGCTCTTGAGGTCGGCGGACTCAGAATTTCCAGCCAAATGACTTGACTGGGATAATTATCACACACTGAAAACGTAATGAAGCCAATGAAGCACGACTTATATTGACCAGTATAGATGCGCTCAGACGCACACGAAAAACAATACTTAATTAGACTTACGTACCCCAGACGATGCAGCATCATGCTGCTTCGTCCACGCCAGCTTCCTGAGACTTTTTTACTCATGAACAACAATACTTGATATGTGGATTAATTATTATTGATTGTAAAAAATTAATTTTTGTTAGTTCCTGAACTACCTCTAATTGCTATATTCTATTTTATATTTAATATTGGAAATAACTAGCAACTATTCACTACAAACATACCATGATAACCATGATATCCGGAATGAGGATTTCCCTCTATTTCTAGTTTCTGGGCGCTGTATTATAATATCACTAAATAATTGATCAATCTATTCAATAAATCGAATTTGAATGAAAATCACACCTTCCTACCCCACTTAGCTGGGACGAGTCTTCAGAGAAGTTCTATATCTAATTTCATGGCTCCCTCTCCACGGCAAACTTGCTTGGTATAGGTCAGTCTGTCCTCAATCTGGTATGAACAATACGAACCATGCCAGAAATCTGGTATAATACCAGAATCATACCATTCGTACTACCCGGTGGTTTTTTGAAGTTTAATAGCTAATGAACGCCAACTCGCAGGTTAGTTTAAGCCAGCAAAGTTCTTTTTTACAGCTGCCTTGCATGTGTTTGGCCAATACACATAGATAATTTTGTTCATATAAGTGCATCAGCCTAAACACATTCAGGTCTTAAGCTCAGCTTGGCAGAAGCTTAAAGTAATAGCGAAAACTTACCTTCATGTATACGCACACCTTGTCTAGTAAATTCTTCTAGTCTAGCTATCGGTGGGAGTATCGGTTGGTTTGAGTATTGAAGAGAAATGTAACATTTATTATATAAAATGAACATGAGAAAAATCAGACCATGGCGGTTGCGCCAGAAAGTCAGTGGATCTTGATTTTATGCAAACGATCTTGATTTAGTGGATCTTGATTTATGTATAAATTCAATGTGTAGTCGGCAGTGTTTCCCGCATTCTAAGCTCACCCTGAATAAAATTGAACGTTTAAATCGGATTAATTTCTAAACCAAAAATTTAAGTAAAAATGAAAATGATCGAGCTGAATGTCAAACAAATTTATTCACCAAATAAATATGCCTCATGTTTGCGCTGGAACTTACGTTTTTTTCTGCAAATAAAATTATGGTTCGAAAAATTATGTTCATTTCATGATTGAAAATTTTCTGTTCTTTGCTTAGGCAAGTATTAATACTTAGGTAAAAAAAATTCATGCGTTTTTAATGGTAAATAAGCTTCGAAAATTCATTATTTCTTACACGATATTTCGAATAAAGGCCTTAACTATATTTGCAATTAGTGTTCGTTTTCCAATAGGGTACGAGTATTGCAGTCATCCTGCTGACGCACTCCGGGATACGTGCGATAATGAGCGCTGATAACAAAGATAAATTACGTCGTTCCGGAAAGTCTGCATGACAGACGTCACCGTGGCAGTCTTAGTAAGTAAACAGATCCCTCGCTGAAAACATTGCTCACTACGCTTTGATTAACAGGACTTGTTAGCGTTGTTACGTGGATCTCTTAATATCTGTGCTGTACAACGTTTAGCAGTGTCTCAGCTATGGGGGTGAAGTCGTTTACAATTGAACTTCGTCCAGAATTGCCGATATATTTCGCTGGCCAAACCATCAGAGGCGTGGTTACACTCGTCGCCGACTCGCCTGTCTCCTGCACAGGTGACTGAAATAATTTACTATTATGAACTCGAGTCCCAAAAATTTAATAATGGCGACAATTTTCTTTTCAAAACAGATGCAAAATAAATAAACTCGGTGGCATTCTCTTGCTTGTCTCATAAATTTTGGAGATTCATATAATTACTCTGATTTCATCTTTGTGCTTTTGTCTCTGGAAATAGTGTAGTTCTTCTTCATCTCGCGTGACTATTTAAGTCCTCATTATTCAAAAGAACCCAGATATTCAGCGACGTTTAAAATTCAACAGTGGACTGATTAGCTTCAGAGAAATTAACAGTTGAGGCTTGAAAATACTCACATACCCATGCACATTTA